CAGCCAAGTGACGATTGTCGCTGGCTGTGAGAATTTTTCAAAAGTGGGAAAGCAGACAAACACGAGGGGGGGATTGAGGCTCCTTCGCCTCATCCACCTCCTCCTCTTCACACCAGTCATAGGCAACACTGCCAGGCTCGCCGACCTCATGGCCCACTAGCGTACGAAACCCCTGCTCCTCACCAAGCCCTCCTCTGGGAGACAGTCGCCGATACTTTGCGAAATCAGATCAGATCAGAGAGGTCCACGAAAGAAGGGCCAGGCCGTTCTGAAGATTCCCCCCCTTCACATCCATTTTCTGTATCACTGCTCTCTGCCCCCTTCCCTCCCCCCTATCCGCTCCCTTTCCCTCTTCTGCTCCTCACTTTAGGAACAAGGAAAGGCGACACCAACACCTGGCGAGGACATTCGAGGAGGCATGGGGGGGGGTCCCTGGTGGTGTGGTCCTTGGATGGTGAACGTGGAGGTCGGGGGCAAGGCCCCGGCAATGTTACCTCTATGGGCCACGCATGGGCGATGCATCCTCGATTGCTGTGTTCGGCGCGGGAACCAATTGAAGCTCCCCGCCTGCACCCATGCGCGAGACTTGAGGGTAAACGAAGCAAGGACTCGGGGGGCTGGGGAAAGGCGACGAAGGCAACATGCGCTGAGGGCGCGAGAAGAGAAGGTTGGAATAAAAGCGGCGGGGCGAGTGTCACAGTATGCCCAGCCAATCTGACATGCGGAACACTGCGCCTCAGTTTGGGAGATCTGGAGGGCCAGGGTAAAATGAGAATTCACATTGCGGGGAAAAGCAAAATGCAAATTCACATGTTGGAAAAACGGAAAATATGGATTCACGTTGTGGAACAAATTGAATTCATATTTTAGAATGTTGTACAGGAGCCTTTTCTTATGCAGGGGCCAGAATGTGAATTCACGTGTTGGGCATGAGGAAAATGCGAATTCAAATCTTGGGAAACAGGAAAATGTGAATTCACACTTTGGCAGAATCGCGGGGCCCATTCCAAATCTGTCTTAGGGATCGACAAATTATCGTCTGGGAACGTACGCGATCATCACTCGCACAATCAAGACACACTTACACTCCACTTCGCCGCCCCACGCGCGATATGCAAGAACGCCCGCACGCATGAACGATAATGGATGGACAGCGCGTTTGCCCGCGCGGGCAACGCGCGGGCACGAACGACTGGCCCTCCATGACCGCCAACATGGGATGCCCCCCCTCTCGCTCGAGACATCCCCGGCCTCCAGCTCGAGGAGGCATCGTGGACCTCCTCGCTGGAAGTGGGCCCCCTGGTCTGGTGGTGTTGGTGTCGTTGCTCCTCCCTCCGACACTTCCGCCTCCCTAGGGGAACGAAAAGTGGCATAAAAACATGAAAACTCGGAGGTCCGCGCGGATTCCTTGGATCCGCGCTGGACCAACCTCCCTGGCGCGCGGAGCGCGCCAGGCCGCCGCCAGCGGGCCCCAGCGCGGATCCGAGAAATCCGCGCGGACCTCCGAGTTGTGATGTTTATGTCGTTGTTCGGTCCCCTATCTCCTCCGTTCGACACTTCCGCCTCCCTGTCTCCCTCCCCTCCCCTCCCGTCCCGCCCCTCCCCCCCCCTCCCCCCTTCCCCCATCCCTTCCCTTTCAGCAGGGTTGAGCGCCGAGCCCGATGGGGCCCGACGGTCGGGGAGCGATTTGGAGGGGGGGGGGAGGCAGGGAAGCAGTGTTGCGTGGGGCATGTCCTCCTGCAGGCAGATTTGGAACGAAACATTAAAAATGTCAAACAATACTCATAAATAGTCCAAAATAATGTCGAAACATCGTCCCCGGGTTATTTTCAGACTATTTTTGAATATTTCCCTGTAGAGGGACATGCCCGACTGAAAGGTAATGAGATTGGTGCCTACGTGGTGCCTGGGCAGTGCCTGGGCGATGCCCGCGTCCGTGATCGTCCGAGCGGCTCCCAGGGCTCCAAGCTGCCTCCAAGATCGAGCAAGATGACCCGACCTGACTCAAGATGGCCTCCAAAGAGGCCCAAGACGGCCCCGAGATTGTTTCAGGTGGCGAAGAAGCTCCCCAATAATGCCCCCCAAGAGGCCAACCTCGTGTTCTTCATGAGATGGCGTCGGCGTCGCTGTGGAGCGCCCTACGACGGCCCAAGCACGCCCGATCAAGGGCCAAGGACTGGCTACGAAGGCCCCAAAAGGGCCCCAAGACGGCCCCAAGAATGCACCTGGGAGTCTCTGAAGAGGCTCGAAAGGTCCAAAAGGCCCCCGAAGGACCAGAAGGCGCGTCGTCAAGACGGCCCAAGAGGGCCCAAGAATTCCCAAAAGGTCTCCGAAGAGGCCCCTGGAGACCCCCCAAGAAACGAAGATTTGTCGGCAGAACCTTCGGCTTCCCACGTGGCCGTACAGCACCAAGAGGCCTCTACGACAACGGCGATGTCCTCAACGCGCGTGACAGGCACAGCGGAGAGGCATCCGGGAAATGTGCAGTGGGGACGTCCTACAGCGCAAGCTCTGCGCGAAGCAAAGAGCGTTAAGCGCGGCAATGTTGGTTGTTCTCCCAAGTCTTACTCCGTGCTGAATTTCGGAGTTTCGGTACAAACACCGAAACCTTGTAATCCCCCCCCAGCACCACCATACCACTCGCCCACGCCGTATCCGCCGACCAGGATGGCTCGCTACCCCATGAACGGCCCAAAACGGCACAAGAAGACCACTGGGCGACCTAAGACGACCCCAAGAAGGCCCAAGACGACCAAGATGGGCCAAAGACGGATCGCGAGGGCCCCAATACGGCCCAGGAAGCTCCCAACACGGCCACACCACATCCTCCGTCGATCCTTTTCGCAATAATTCATCATCCTTGTGTCTGGGCGCCAGACGGTCCGAGAAGGCCCCAAGACATTCCAAGACGGCTACAAGACGGTCCGAGAAAGTCCCAGGGTGAAAGCAGCGACGGAGGTTAGTGCGATAGGTCTCGATGATGGCCTGATCAGAGCCCAAGGGGGCTCCAAGAGGCCTCCAAGGCGGCTTCAGACGCAACACGAGCGCCCCAAGGGGACCCTCAGACGATCAAACTCAACAGCAGGACGGTGGACGTTGTGAAAGTGCTGTCGTGCCAGAGCGGCGCCAGAGAGGGCCTCGGAAACGAGAGAGAGAGAGAGAGAGAGAGCGAGAGGCAAGGGGGGCCCGAGAAGGACCCAAGAGAGCCACCGAAGACGACCCCAGAACGGCCCCAGCCCGGGAAGCCGGCCCCCAGGGGGGGAGGCAGCTCGAGGAGGGCCCCAAGAGGCCTCCGAGGGGGTCTCTGGAGGCCCCCGAGGAGCACGGGGGCCGGAGAGACCGACCCGACGGGCCACGACGGCCCCAGAAGGTGCCCCGGGAGGAGCAGGGCGACGACGAGGACGAGAGGGCGATGGAGACGGGAGGAGAAGGCAGAGGTACGCAGAGGGGAGGACGAAGATGAGCAAGCGGTGAAAGGGGCCGGAGGACGGGGGAGGGAGGGGGGCCAGGACGGGGAGGCGGGAGGAGAGAGGAGGGGGGGGGTGACCAGGATGGGGTGGAGAGGCGGAGGGCGAGGACGAGGATGAGCAGGAGGAGGCGGACGACGAGGAGGACGAAGAGAGGGACAGTGACAAGGCGGAGGCATTCTCTAGCCTCGCAGCGCATGCGTCCTGAGTGCACTCGACCGCCAGATGGGCGGGAAGAAGGGCTCATCTGGCCGTCCCCCGCGAGGCGGGTGTGCGTCGACATCGCCAGAACGCCCTCTTGCGCGAACAAGCGTCGGTGCGTACCGAGAAGGCGGATATGCACGCGGATCGAATGCTCCAGGCACCGCATGACCGGAAACAACAGATCGGTGAAGGAGGGAGGCGGAATCGATCCGATTCGCCTGCACTCGAAAACGCTGGTCCCGCTTACATCAGCCGTGCGAGTACCAGGCACGATGGGGACGTCTGTCATAGTGCCCCCTCCTGCAGAATCACCTGAACGCCCTGACCCGAGACAACAGCAGCAAAAGAGGTTGCTGAGAATACACCCGCAAACGAGGCGAAGCAGGAGGAGGGAGGAGAGGGGGAGTAAGAGGATCAGGACAAAACCGAAGACGACAGGACATAGAGGAGGGATGAGGGGGTGGAGGAGGAAGGGAGGAGGGGAGGAGGAATACAGCGATCGTGCTACCTTGAGGGACGCCGAAAGGAAGGAACGGAGCTCTATGTCCACAGCGAACCTCGACCACGAAAAAAAGTTCCCCGACCTAGATCTGAGAGACGGCCCAAAAACAGGGGCCCCTCCTGAGCCAAACGTGGTCCTCATTCCAGCACCTCGGCTGCGAGGGCGGAGGGAAGGCTCAGACGGTTATGAGCGCAGCGCCGTGCCCTCCTGTAGCTTCCGACCCAGGCACCCAGGCCGCCCGCAGACTCTGCGCCTGGCCGACAGCAGAGGCTGGCCCCTGTCCTAGCAGAGAGGAACTCTCGGAGGAAGAGGAGGAGGAGGAGGAGCCCCTGTCTTAGCAAAGGAGAAGCAGCAGAGAAGAAAGGAGAGAAGTGGGGTAAGGACGACGACGACGACGACGAAGGACCTTTCGCCCTTTCCCCCGAGGGAGCGGACGAATGCGAGCCCGAGCCCGAACAAGAGGGCCCCTCGTCCGCTAGCCCTGGGGATGGTGGCCCGTGTTGTGTCCGTGCCCCGCCCCTCTGGCGGCACGGACCTCCCTCCCGCCAGGCTCCAGCCGACGGGGGGGGGGCCAAGCCGCCCCCCGAGCTCCTGGCGGGGCCCCACTGGCCGAGCATGGGGGGCACACCCACCTGGAGGAAGGAGGAAGGAGGAGGGATGGGGGAGCAGGAGGAAGAGCGGTGGGAGTGCGAGTGCGGGAGGGGGAGGAGAAGGGGAGGGCCAGGGCGAGAGAGCGAGGAGGAACAAGGAGAGAGAAGAAAAAGGGCAAATAGAGGGAGGAGGGAGACGTGAGCGCGCGTCGGAAACATGGCTGTTTCACAAAGCGCCTGCGTCGTGGAAGGAGCCGCGCGACGGGCAGCTGTCCACGCCACCCGTCTCGATGATGCCCTCGCCCCGAGACAGTATTGCTCACCCGTTTCGTCGAGGCAAGCGATGCCGAGACATCCTCCCATCCTGCCCTCCCTCACCTTCCCCCTACTCGTTATGCTCCATCCTCTCCTCCTGTTCATCATGAGCATCGCAAGTGTCATCATCATCATCATCATCATCATCATCATCATCATCATCATCATCATCATCATCATCATCATCATCAGCATCAGCATCAGCATCAGCATCAGCATCATCATCATAATCGTCATCATCATCATCGTCAGCATCAGCATCAGCATCAGCATCATCATCATCAGCATCATCATCATAATCAGCATAATCATCATAATCATCATCATCATCATCATCATCATTATCATCATCATCATCATCATCATCATCATCATCATCATCATCATCATCATCGTCATAATCGTAAGTATCATTATCATCATCAGCAGCAGCATCATCATAATCATCATCATAATCACCATCACCATCACCATCACCATCACCATCATCACCATCATCATCAGCATCATCATCACCACCACCATCATCATCACCACCATCATCGCCATCAGCAGCTATAGCATCATCATCATCATCATCATCATCATCATCATCACCATCATCATCCTCTCGTCATGGTCATATAATAATCACCAGCATCAACGTACAGTCATCGCCGTTACAGTCATCATCAGCAACAGCGTCATCAGCAGAAGTAGCACCATCAGCATCATCACGATCGTCGTCGTCGACACTTGCGACACCAACATCATCAAGATCATCAACAGCCTCATCACCACCATCAGCATCCTCATGCTGAGCATCAACATCGTCCGAATCATCCTCACCATCGTCATCACCATAATCATCAGCAGCAGCATCCTCAGAATCCCCACTTGTTTTCCTCCCGTTCTCCTCCGCCTCATCCCGTTTCCCCCTCCCCTCCGTTCATCCTAGTCCTACTCCTGGCACAGCTGTTGTCATAGCACCACTCCCGTCGTCGCCAATCGCATCCGCGAGCGTTCTGATTCAAACCGCCGACGGCCCCGAGGGCCGCCCGGGCGCTGGGCCGCATGGCCCGCCACCCCAGACGGATCGATGCTGGCTGAGTTGCAAGGCGCCTCGGAATGGGACAGAGATTCGGCGCGGGTCCAGACTACTATGGTGGTCTAGGGCTGGGTGTCACGTGCGCCCTGGCTGCTGCGGCGGGCGCACGTTCAGCCTCCCGCCGGCACCATACTGAAATAATAGCACCGACAGCCCAACGGGGCTCAACATGGGGACGACATCCTCGAGGACTATGCGGTGGTGGCGCGTGGGCGACGTTGGGCTTGTGACCTGATATGCTCAACATGGGCTCAACGAGGGCACGGAAGCTTCGAGGACGATGCGGGGGCCAGGTTGAGCCTCTGACCAGAGAGCCTCAACATGGGTTCAAGATGGGCACTACATCCTCGAGGACTACGCAAGAGTCTTGCTGAGCCCTGGACCAAGGTCTCAAGCGGGCCCAACATTGGCGCGAAATCGTCCGCGACTTCGCGGAAGTCCCATGTCAAGCCCTGCCGCGAGGGCCCTAACATGGTCCCGGCGTAGGCACCGCACCCCCGGGGACTCTGCGGGGGCCAGGCTGCACCCCTGCAGCGGGGATCTCAACACGGTTCGAATGTGGGCACGGGATGCTCTTGAACTTTGCGGAAATCATACCGGTGCGACGTTAAAACCCTCCGACATGGAACTCTGCACTGGGACATGGAGCACGGCCTCCTCATGGGCGACGTTGAGCCCAGGGCACGAGGATCTCAACGCGGTTTTCAACATGGGCATGACATCCTCGAGGACTATGCTGAAGGTACGCTCGGGCAGTGTTGGGCCCTCAGCCTGAAGGTTTCAAAACGCCGCAACATCGGCACGGACTCGTCGATGACTATGCGGTAACCATGGTGAGACGATGATTCGGAAGGCTTCGGCGTGGTCCCAAAACGGGCGTGAAATGCTGGATTGCGATGCGTCAATACCGCCATTCTGAGAGTTCCAGCATGGCCTCAACAGGGCCAACGCGCCATCGAGGACTGCGCGAGGGTCATCGGGTCGACGTCGATGTCCTGCTAACTTGACCGCGCGCAACGACGAGGCAGCGACGACGCTGGCCTGAACATTTGTGGCATCGGAGAGCGGCTGAACTACTACCACTACAACTACAACTACTACAACAAGTGGTAACAATGATGAGAAGAAAGCTACTGTGACTACTACTACTACTACTACTACTACCACTACTACTACTACTACTACTACTACTGAAACGACTACTACTACTACTACTACTACTACTACTACTACTACAACTACTACTACTACTACTACTACTACTACTACGACGAC